AACTACACATAAAAACCCAAGGTAACAATAAAAAGAATTAAAACAACCAACCCAAAACAATCACAATGCCCAGCAGAGAGATGATAAATCACTCAATACCTTTCAGAAGAAAAAGTATTTTATGTCTTGGGGGGGGGGGATAACTGGCATAGCCAATTCCTCCTAAACCTTCTCTGGAAGATTAGTGCATGGGATGAGTGCTAAAACTGACAAAGCACATGTCCTAGCTGCAACAGAACAAACCTACTAGATCTAGTTGATCACTAAAAGAGCTGATGGTCTAAAGCAAGTTAGTTCATGGGTTCTTATCAGGAGAGGCAGTCCTTCTGGTATATAGGTCCCGGGTTGTAAAGATTGTTAACGATGAGAACCATTATCTTGAACTGAGCAGAGAAGCAAATAGCCAATGAAGTTCTTTCATTACCAGTTTAGTATATGCAGACAGACTAACACATATCAACAAGTGAGCTGCACTATCTAAAATTTCTGAACTGTCTTCAACGGCAGCAGTACCACCAAGCAGAGTTACAGTTATCTAGCTGAGAAGTTCCAGAGGCATGGATCAGCTGAGTCTTGAAGTGAGCACAGTTTACAAAACAAGGGCAGATAGTAGAAGATTCTTATAGTAATAGTAGTAATCTGTCCCTCACATGGCAGTGCTGGGTCCAGGAGAACACCCAAGTTCTTTAACTGATTCAGTGGCAACAATGTGACCCCATTCCAGACAGACAAGTTGGTTCACTTCAGAATTTCAGCTTTAACCATCAGCATCACTTTTAGATTCAATGTCCACTTTTTCACCCTCATCCACTTTATTTTTGCCATGTTACAGGAACATCAGCACCTAACATGTAAGTGAAGAGTAACTACCTAGTTATATGCCTTCAAGGGCTTCCACAGTACCTTTCGCAAAGGTTACATAGTGTAAAAACAATCCCATTGCTAATATATCCCAAACAGAATAATTATGGCACTATCCTATTTAAAACAATCATTCCAACAGAACCACTGCAATATTTCCTTTATTCTCTGGTGAATATCTTGATCTGCATTCCACACAAGCCTAAAAAAAGAAGAGGAGAGGAGAAGGGCATACAGAGGTTTACGTGAATGATAGGACCTCAGAGTGGATCACGTCAGTTGCATGTCTTTAAAGAACAAAAGTCAGACCGTGAGAATTGCATGTAAGAATTATTCTGGCCATCTATAAAGTTCTGAAAGTTTCCTGAAACTCCATGTGTAAAATCTGTTAATACTGCATGCCTGATTTCCAAGGAAATAAATCCATAAAAGCATAACGTTCTGTACATTTTAGAACCACATGAGTTGAAACCATACAAGGCTAGTATTAAAAAGAAAATATGTTTTGAATTTTGACCTTGTCTTCTGCTTCACAAAAAATTATTAAAGACCATAGGTTATGTACAATGCTTAATCTGTGAGCCATTCACAGGATTCATCCATTGACTAGAGCCAACATGGACATCCACTGCATCCCTGGTGAACTTGAATACAGCACAAGGTTTGCTGGGCTCATCATATTCCTGCAGCATCACATTTTGGGCTATGAACAAAACAAATGCCCTGATCCATAAGATCAGCCCACCTCTTCA